ATGACTTCATCTTGATATTGACATTGTATTGAACAGTTGGACAAAATCCAATTACTGGCAGTCAACAAATTGTGTCATTCTGCGTTTTCTTATAAATTTTTTTAATGTGCATATGAAAGCAGCCATTCAAGTACTTCATAGGCAAACGTATAGGTCTTTGGATGAAAAAAAAAAGCGAAGAGAAAACATTTACATCAGACAAGGTGAAACTCATTCTGTCAGATCCTAGAGTGTGAGTGTGAGTATTATTTTCATCTACGCTTGAGAGAATATATATACAGAATAACATACAATGTAAGTATACAAATTGTAAACTAAATAATCTACATGTAATCCGCAGTATTAGAGTGTTCTTGTATCAAATAAAATAAATTTAGTTTAACTATTATCCCTCTTTTTTGATGGATTTATACGAAAAAGTTTTTATGTAGGTTGTGATGTACGTATTAAATATAAACTAGAATATGTTTGAAAAATTTTATTCATAAATTTCATTAAATCTTTCGTTATTGATTTATTTTAACAAAACTACCTTAAATCAAAATTATATTTATAACTCGAATCACATGTAATGAAACTATTGAGTTATTAAATCAAAAATTATAAATAAAAGTTTTTTAACCTTATTACTGTATATTGATTATAAGCGACATTAAATTTAAAATGAAATTCAAAATACATTTTAGAGGAAAATGTGAATAAAAGATGGCAAATCATTTATATAATTGGACAAAAAGAAACACCTGTAGAATTTTACAGGTATTTTTGTTTTATCTAAAATTCACATCGCCTGACTTAAATCATTGGTTAATAGAGTCTATTTTTAAGTTCTGATAAAACAGTCAATCTTCTAAATGATAATAAAATAATAAGATGAATATTTTATATTGGTTGAAATATATCACAACATTTATATGTATTTTATTATTAGCTATATATACATATATAAAATCACGTCTTTTTGGTAATAAAAAACGTCAACCACCATTACATAATCGAGATAGTAAAATTGCCATAGTTGGAGGTGGAATTGGTGGTGTTGGTGCTGCATATGCTTTGCTTCGTAGTGGATATACAAATGTAACAATATATGAAAAACATGATCAGCTTGGTGGTAATGCTAAAACACATATTTGGCAAATTAATAATAAGAATATTACAACTGGACTTTCGGTATTAGCATGGCCAGAAATATTTCGTAATTATATGCGTTTATTAAATGAATTAAATATTAAAACAACTACAGTTGAATTACCATTTTTTATTGATAATAAAGAAGAAAATACTATATTTGCTCATGGAAAACAACATATTAATGCTCAAAAATATAATAATGATTTAAAACGTTGGATTAGTATGATTAATACTATTAAATATGTATCTAAATTTTTTCATGGTAAAGAAATATCTATATATCATTTTTCGTTTTTAAATCCTTTTAATTATATTTCAATAAAATTTTTAAGTTTATTATTTGGTATATCAAATCATTTTTGGAATAATATTGTTGTACCTATGTATGCATCAACATTTTTATCAACAAAATTATCATTTATTCCATCATCTATTCTTCCCATTGTTGATGATATGATATCTCTAGAACCAAATCGTATACCAACCATGCAAACATGGTCACAAACATCAGTAGATGTATTTAATAAAATGACAAAAGATGCTATTATTAAAACAAATTCACAAGTTAAAAGTGTTTATATTAAACGAAATAAATATAATCAAATAATGATTTCTATTAATAATGAAAATATAATATATGATCGAATTATATTTGCATGTAATAGTCAAGCAACAATTAATGCATTAAATAATGGTAATACAAAAATTTCATTATTATTAAAAATAATGTTATCTAATATAACATATAGTGATGATGATGATACAAATTTATTAGATGGAATTATTCATCGTGATATAAATATTCTACCAATGAAATATGCTGATGATTTACGTAGGAAATATGCTAATTATATTGATGTAAAATATGATAAAAAGAATAAAATATTTTATCATTATAATACATTTATTTTAAGTTCTTGGTTACCTAATGTAAATGCTATATTAGAAGAAAATCAATTAGAACATAACAAAATGGAACCAATGTTAGTTACTTATGCATCCTATAATCAACCAGCTCCACAAATTGATGAAAAGAAAATTTATGGAAAAGTAGATAATCGACGTGCACATCCTAATCTATCATTACGTAATCAAACAATTTCATTATTAATACGATTAGTACAAGGAGAAAA